CCTCAAATTAGAAAGCACTGCAAGCCTTTCCAGCTAAGTCCTAGTTTTGACAAGAGAGAGATGGACGGGAGGAGAGGGTTGGCTGGGGTCCCCAAGGAAAGATCTGAGCGCTAGTGATACCGAAGTAAAGCACGTGGGGACAGCAGCTGGAAGGAAGTCGCGGGGATCCCGTGATAAGCACCCTTGAACTTTTCTCAGGAAATTGCCAGGGCTCGGCTTTCCCTACCGTTCAGCCCTGCCTGGCACCCCCTTTCACCGCCCACCCCGAAGATGAAAGGGCTGCTGAACAGATCCAGAACAGATCCAAATCCAGATTGTCTTTTTTCGGGAAAACCCCGGCAGAGCAGCCGCCTCGCCCAGGGATGGGGAAGAGCTTCCTCCTTCCCGCTTGCATTTCTCCAGACCAGAGCCGGCGAGGAGCCGCACCGCCGCTCTCGGGCATCACATCGCTCCCTTGTTGTCTGGAAGGGAAGCCGACCTGTCTTTTTGCCTGCACCACCGGAGAGCAGGCAAATCGGAGCCGAAGGGAGAGCTCTCCATATTCGTTAACGGGCTCGGGGTGGGTGGGGGGAGTTAGGGACGAGTGTCGTTTTTCCCATCTGCCCAGCCCGCCGCCCTATTTGGGGCAGCCCCGGCAGCGGAGGGCGCAAAGCCGAGCAAGCGACCCCGCGCAACGAGAGCCCATCCCTGGCGACGCACGCCTGCCTTCCCCCGCTTGCCTTCCGAAGGCTCTCCTTCAGCCAACCCTCTTCCCCGCCCGCAGTTTCCGAAACAAAAGGCTCCCCGGAGAGCCGGCTTACGTGGGGACCGAGAGGGCTTTGCGGCGTCCAGCGTCGCTGCTCGTTGCTCCCCATCGCGCGGAGCTGGGCTTTGCCTTCTCCTCCTGGCTGGAGGGGCCGGGCAACTCTTGGCTCTCCCTGGCGAGGCTCTGTCGGGCACCTGAATTCCGTGCCTCGCGCTAAGCCCGCCCCCCATTGGAAAGTCGCTGAAAGAAAGAGATTTCACTCATTTGCCGGTCCTTCGGCAGCAACAGGATGTCAGCTGAGGCTATATTCCAGATGGAAACACAGAGTTGGGCTTTCCTCTGGAAAGCACCTCTTAGCATTGACTCTGACGCCTGACGTTACCTTTTCCTCCAACCCAGCTCTTCGGACTTGGCATAGCAAAAAAAACCCTTTCCAGCCCCCTGGTGCCTTCCAGAATATAATGCCCATTGCCCCCAGCTTGGGGCCAGGTAAATAAAAATGTCTGATCCTGGCATCAAAAAGACTGTAAAGCAGAGTTTAGGTGTACCTCCTAGGGAAGAAGAGGCAGCCCAAAGCCTGAATGTTAGTTACTATTTGAAGCCCTTTGGGGATTATGGAAAGCACTTCTGAGAAGGAACAGGCAGGCCCTAACTGGGTGATCTTAAGGCTGTTGAGGTGGTACCAGTCGTGTGTTTTGGGCAGTTCCCTTATTTACATTTTCAATGAATGTTACTCCTCAGGAAAAGGGTTTAGAGTTGCAGCCTCCATCAATTCAGCTTAGCTTGATTAGCTCAGAACATTTATTTATCAGGTAACATGTTTTTAATGATTGTCTAATACATTCTTAGAATATATTCTATTATGTCATCTGCAGTATATTCCATTTTTAGAAGAATATGAGACAGCTGGTGGCATTTTAGAAGATGATTTCTGGCTTGAAAGGGCATCCACAGGAGTAGAATGCTGCTATGGCTGAAGACTGGTATATCGCATGCGTGCATTGTCTCTGAACAAAGAAAAAAACCCCCTGTATTTGTGTTTTTGTTTTAGTTTCATGATGCCTTTAAATCCAAGTTTGCCAGGGGGCGTGCCACAAGCTAAAGTAATCAAGTAAAATTCTGAGCGGTAAAACATAGTACCTCAAATGCATTACCCTAAATTGGTAAAATAATAGATGGAAGAATAATGAAATTCCCACAGGGGAGGAATGGACTGTAAAAATGTCAGAATTGGCAGAAATGGCAAAACTGACCTATTTGGCCAGAGAACAAACAACAAAAACTTCTTTGAAAAACCGGAAGCCTTATATGAAGCCTTATTTTTCTTGCTGAAAGAAGAAAAAAAGAATGGATGATTTTGGATTTGGAGCCTAAGAAAGATGGGGACTCAATAAAGGGGTGAAGGGAGGAGGGACGATAAGAATGTAATTATCTGTTGAAGAGAAGGTCGGAAGTCATCTGTATGTTTCTTAAATTTAGTTTTCTTTT